AGGGAAAGGGAAAGGGAAAGGGAAAGGGAAAGGGAGAGGGAAAGGGAAATGGAGAGGGAGAGGGAAAGATAAAGGGAAAGGGAAAGGGAAAGGGAAAGGGAAAGGGAAAGGGAAAGGGAAAGGGAGAGGGAAAGGGAAAGGGAGAGGGATAGGGAAAGGGAAAGGGCACGGGAAAGGGAAAGGGAAAGGGAAAGGGAAAAGGCACGGGAAAGGGCACGGGAAAGGAGAAGAAGAAAAAGAAGGGAGGAGAGTTTAAGAAGTGACAGAGGATCCTCAGCCGAGCATCTCTTCTTTGTCAAGGGAGCCCTGCTGCTTTACACTACTAAGTGACAAGTTCTGAGCATGCAGAAAAACATTTGTGAGCAAACCAGCTCATGTCCCTCACTGAAAATGAAATGGTTGGAGGAGCCAGCAGAAATGTCTCCTGCTCTATTCAGAGACATGGTGATCGTTTCTGATCTGTACAGGAACGTGCATGTTGCTGAGCTGAGATGCATTTAGCAAATACCTGAAATTGCTGAGAAGATATCTACTGGGGAAAAGAGGAATGTTTGGGGGACCTGGAAATTGACTGATCATGCAAATCCCAGGAATGTGACAATTTAAAGAAAGGAAAGGTGTTTGCCTCATCTAATGCATGTAAAAATGCATCAGTGATTTATTTTAGTTATTTGAAATGATGTGATATCACAAAGGAAAACGAAATTTTAAGCTGACTACCACAAAAACCTTCCCGACAGAGAAGGAAAAGACTCCTCCCCTGGCCAAAGCTATAAAAGCCCAGAGGTTGAGGGCATTTCAAACAAAACTGGTAAAATTAAAGTACCACTTCTCAAAGGTTTCCACTGCCATATCCTGAAAGCTCCTGGTTTGTAGCCAAAGAGATGCAGCTCAGCCACCCCTACAGTGGGTTACACTGGAAGGGTTTGCATGTTGGGAAGTGCTCAGATGAGCAGTAATGGAATCTTGGTCATAGGATGACCATATTTGCTCACAGGTGCTAAGGAGATGAAAGTAATGCTTCCTCTTGGAGTGAGACTCTCAACAGATCAAGTCTCACCACTGCCTGCTATCCTGTTAAATCCATTCTCTCACCTTGCCAACACACTATTCAGACAACATGCTTGTGATGAAAAATGGTTGAAATAAACCCATGAGTTCACTCTCTGCATTTTCTTCCCCAAATTGACAGAACTGATGTTGGTTTAAAACCTGAAATCTCTTCTTTACCTTTCAGGGAATTCAGTTATAGGAAACAAGAAGGAAACTGAATTTGTTCTGATAGGACAAAGGGAAATGGTACCAAACTAAAAGAGGGGAGATTTGGACTGGATATAAAGACAAAAAAAGTTATGATAAGGATAGTGAAGAACTGGAACAGGCTGACCAGAGAAGTGGTGGATTCCCCATCCCTGGAGACAAGGCTGGATGGGGCTGTGAGAACCTGATCTGATTGTATGTGTCCCTGTTCATTGCATTAGGAGTTGGACTAGATGGTCTTTGAATGTCCCTTCCAACTCAAACAATTCTATGACACTATGAAATAACTGCCTGGAAGAGAAAATGAGTCCAGCCTTGTTAGCACAGCCAAATACCTCAAGAGTTCTTCATCTTTTAGTATGATAATCAGCCTCATTTGATTCAGACCTAAGCAGGGTCACCACTGCCCAACATTATTGTTGTCAAAATGATGTTGTCCTTAGAGATGATACATCATCACACTCCATTTCAGCAGAGACATCACTCCTGGAAGGGAGTTGAGAAGTCTGGATGAACTGCGTAATATATAGAATCACAGAATCATTACGGTTGGCAAAGACCTCTGAAGATCATCAAGCACAGCTGCCAACCCATCCCCACTATGCCTGCTGATCCACGTCCCACAGTGCCACGTCTCCATGGTTCATGAACACCTCCAGGGACGGTGACTCCACCACCTCCATGGGCAGCCTGCTCCAATGCATCACCACTCTTTCAGAGAATAATTTTTTCCTTATATCCAACCTAGTGACCAGTGAAGCAGCACAGACACTTATTAATATTTATATGCTTCCCTATGTATATATCTAATTTGATACGTACATATCTAAAATCAAACCAGCACAGCGCTCACCAAATTGCTTGTTCTGGCTTTAGCTGGGATGGGGCTGATTTTTGTTTCGGATACACCAAAGATCCTGGTAAACAAGAATCAGAGAATCATAGAATGGACTGGGTTGAAAAGGACCACAAAGATCATCTAGTTTCAACCCCCCTGCTATGTGCAGGGTCACCAACCCTAGACCAGGCTGCCCAGTTAATGTCTCCATTTGCAGTAGCTCTGTATAATAAATGGTGTATCCTTATGTATCCTACGTATCTAAATGGCATATCCTATGGTATCTCCATCTGACTACAAAGCCACAGGTGAAATAGTCTATGAAGTCATGACTGGCCAGGACTGCAGAATTCACTGTCTCAGAGATGCTTCAATTAAACATGCTGCTTTGGCAGCTCTGCTTCACAGATTGACACAGCACACCCCCATTGGTGATAACCCCACCACCTCTGGTATCCTGGGGCTCCAATGGGCACCTGCAGCACTGAAAGAACAGTTTTAGGCTGAGCCAAAGGTCTGTGATGGATTCATGGATTGCCTGTGTCCCGCAACCTCTGCAGAACAGTGTCCATTTCGGAATGAGGTGCCCTTTCCTGGCTTTTCCATATGCACTGACTGCAGAACAGGAAAAATTGCTTTGATTGATCTACTGCCCACACGTAGAGAATGCAGTCAGTTTACTTTTTTATTATTTTTTATTCTTCCTGGAAATGAAACAAGAACTTTTCATGTGCTGGAGCTTGCAGCTTTGTCTGGTTTTGTTCATCACTGCATTTATTCCTAAAGCAAAGACTGAATATCTACGTCCCTTTGGGAAGTCAAGGACTGACTGTGTGTTGGGGCAAACAAACTACCAAACAGAACTGGATTCTTACATGCTTTGTTTTCATTTTCTTGCTGATAACACAGACAGGCACTCACAATGTAGTTTCCAGACAGAGCTGAAGGACAGATTCCTGATGTATTCAGCAAGTCAACACCAAAGAGCTGACTCTTTCCCCCAGCAAAGGGTCCGCAATTCTGCTTTGAACTGTGTTTCAGAAGACAGGAATTTAAAATGTTTACACAAACCTTGAAGTGCTGCAGATTGGTACTACAGAAAACATTGCTGTGCACTCAGCCTGCCCGCTTTCCAGGCAGAAACAGACTCCCCAGTGTTTCCGTGATGTGAAAACACATACTGGTTCATTTTAGCCACCTCAGAAGGAAACCCAAATAACAGTGGCAGAAGCAAAGTGATGTTTGTAGGTAGAAGAAATATCTTTTCTAACAACATCTGCTGTTGTTGGGAAAAAAAACAATAGTACAGATAAGCCCTGGGCAGTAAAGAAAAGCTTTTGTCCTATAGCTGAAAGCTTATTTAATTTTCCAGCTATATTATCATGACCTACAAACCTTAGCTTGTCTGTGTGTTTAGACTGTTCCAGCTGCAGAACATGGCCTTGAGAGCAACACTGTCCAATCATGGTATGCAAGAATCACAGAATCATAGAATGGCTTGGGTTGGAAGGACATCAAGGATCATGAAGCTCCAACCCTCCCACCACAGGCAGGGCCACCAACCTCCACATTTAATACCAGACCAGGCTGCCCAGGGCCCCATCCAACCTGGCCTTGAACACCTCCAGGGATGGACAGGGCAAACCACAACCTCTCTGGGCAGCTGTTCCAGCACCTCACCACTCTCATAGTAAAGAACTTCCCCTGACATCCAACCTAAATCTTCCCTCCTTTAACTTCAAACCATTTTCTGCTATTATCTACCCTTATAAAGAGTTGAGTAAGTCACTACATGCTCCTGGTAGAGAGATGGGGCTAAAAAATCACTCCTGATTGTCAGACGTTCACACTGACATCACTGGGCTTGTGCCTTTTCAATACAATTTAATTGAGCTGAATTTAAATAACTTCTGAAATCATATTTATTATGTAATATGGTTCCCCCCCCCATTTTCTGACATTATTTGTCATTCGTTGCAATGTGATACAGAATCACAGAGTACTATAATTGATATGAGTTTCCAACAAAGTGGATTTTGATTTTAATGAGAGAGAGGTGTAATGAGAGCTGGGTCTGTGACTGGGATTGCTTGTGAGGAACACATGAATCTGCAAACAGGGAGCTCAGCAAATTGGTCCAGCGTCAAAGCTGGGATGAACCAAGGGAAAAAAGCAAGTCCAGGAATGATAACCTCTATCCCTGCATTGAGATGACCTCGAAGTTTCTGCAGAGATTTGAGCCTCCATCCCTGAAGAATTAGAGCATAAACTCAGCCTGACAATTCATCCCAGAACCTACCCTGTAGTTAGAACATTAGAAAGGATGTTGAGTACTCACTAAGCCACACAGAACTGCCCTCCCAGAGGTGTCAGGCTACAATGCACAGCTCAAAATGCTTTATGAGCTGAGATTTGGGTTTCACTGTTACACTGGAGCAGTTCAAAAGAAGCAATTTGTTCTGTGGCTTAATGCATTTAGCAACGGAGGTGCGGCACATTTATTGTGGCAGAAAAACAACCTCAGCCCCCCCACCCTTTGAAGCACAAAGAAAGCAAATGAAAGGCAAAGAAGTGAGCACCTATGGTAGCAAAATCTTATTAGTGAAGGGAATGTAAAAATCGATCATTCTGACCTATGCAGCAGCTGAGGATGTGGAAGCAGGAAACCCTGGAGACGTTACAGAGAGCCAGCGAGCCTGAACAATCTTCTTTGTTTGTCGCTAATGAACCGTGGTGCTTTTTAATAATATATAAGCCGTTTAAAAGGACTTGATAGGAAGCTCAGGAAAGTAAGCCGAGGCATTTCTACCTGGAGCGAGGTCAGAAAACACTGATTTATTATTATTATTATTATTATTATTATTATTATTATTATTTTGTAGAAAGGGGGAACAGTGAACTTCAGCCAACTACAGAGTAAAATCACAGGGGTTCCCAGATGGTCTGACAGTTGGATCCCCAAAGTACTGTTTTCTGGCAGACTGCTCTCCTAGAGAACATATCATCAGCTTCCAGGATTCCTGGAAACACCACAAGAGAGGCCCCAGATTCCTTGGGTCTCTGGTACTTTTATCAAGAAATGCAGGGTTTCTATCTGTAGGCAAAGCCCAGCAGGTACCCAAGGATTCTTGGATATCACTGCTGTAGTTTCCGGGCTTTCAGCCATAGGTTGTGTAAGCCCTGAGGTCATACAGAATCATAAAGATTGGAAAAGATCACTAAGGTCATCTAGTTCAACCATCAACCCATCAAACCCATGCTACAACCAGTCTTGGTTTCCAGACCTTAGTAAGGAGCTTGGAAGCCCTGAGATCAACTTGGAGTCAAGGAGCTCTCACAATGAGCAAATAAAATGGGAAATTCTGGCAATTTCACCACTGTCATTAGTTGATTTTGATAACAGGGAACCATGTCTGGCATTCCTCAAAAATCTGGAATTCATTTTAAAAAAAAATAATCATTTTTGGACTCACTGTAGTTTTTTGCAATATTTTCATGGGATTTCACACTTGTGGGAAAGAAAGGAAAAGAAGAAATAAAGAATGAATGAAAGGGAAGAAAAGAAAGAAAGAAAAAGAAAGACAAAAGCAAAAGGAGAGAAAGACAGAGGGAAGGGAAGGGAAGGGAAGGGAAGGGAAGTGGGAGAAACAATAAAAGATTCGGGTCTGATTCAAATAAAAACTTTGTAAAAATCAAAATGAAACATCTACAGGATAAAAATCCCACTTTTTGATCCTTCTTCACTTGATCACAGAGGTCTTGGACAGATGCTGGTACATCTCAGTAGGGTTCCACACAAGCTTAGGAAAGAAGACCCTACATCCATAATGAATATACATACACAGCTGTATTAATAACTTAATACATATATTAATAACTTAATAAACTTATGGTGCTCCAACTGCAGGAATGCAAGAATAGGGATCAGGAATGAAAAAAAAAAACCCACACAGTAGGAACAGGGATGAAGAATAGGAGAGCAACAACGCAATGTGAAATATCTGTAGAAATTCAATACTCTTTTTTTCTTTTTACAATGTTTCCAGAGCAGACAGAAATGGATCTTTTGTCTGTAATTACTTCTGGTCTTTCCCATTTCTCAACTGCTGCTGAAGGCTCATGCTTGGTGTTTGGTTCACATAAAACTCCAGCAGTTTTCTCACTTGATATTCTATTCTAGCCTGAAGAAGGACGTTGGGATGACAACTTATCAAGCAGTAAAGATTCTGAAGAGGATCATGAAACAGAGTCCATCTACTGGGACAGGATCATAAAATGATAGAATCATAGGATCTTTGGGGCAGGGCATGGCAGTGATAGGTCAGTGGTTGGATTAGATGATCTCAGTGCTCTTTTCCAACCTTATCAGCAGTTGCCCTGTTTGATTTGTGTTTCTTCTGTCATTGACACAACAGTGTCTTCACCCTTGATGAGGGAAGCCAAGGCGCTGAGAGACATGAGGGTAAATTATTCACTGTGGATGGGTTCTTGCATGTGTCACGGTCAGGAATACAAGGAGGACACATTATTTTTTCCTCTGTCTTCTCCATGAAGCAGTTGGCACCTCATGGTGCCACTGGGTTTGGTAGGTCCCCAAAACACGCTCAGAGGATCACACCATTGGGTCAGCTCTATTTCACATCTCAGCAATTCATTTCATTATCTAAAACCCAAAACGGCAACGTCCAGCTGTTTGATTTGTGTTCGAGCCCGTTCCCTTCACCCGTTCTCATCAGCCACATCAGCGCCGCCATTACAGCCCGCCCCCCCACCAGCGTGAAACTACAAGTCCCATCATGCCCCGCGCGTCCATCCCCATGGGAGGAGACGGGAAGGCGCCGCGGGGGTTGCTGGGATTTGTAGCCCGGACCGTGACGGAGCGGCGGTGATTGCGAACGTGCAGCGGGAGGAGAGCGAACTACCGGCTGCCGGGAGGAAGCGGGGGTGGCGGGGCCGACAGCGGGGCAGAGGCCCGGGAACGGGATGAGGTGGAGGCCCGGGAAGGCCGCTTCGTTGCTTGGGGTTGCGCTATGCACCCGGCCTTGGCGGTGTGTTTGGTGTTCTGCGGCTGCTGCAGCAACGTGGTGTTCCTGGAACTGCTGGTCAGGTGAGGGCGGGGAGGGGGTAGGGGGGGAGGGGAATGAAGGGAGGGGGAATGCAGAGCCTGGGTGCACATTGCAATGGCAGTGATGGGTTTTGTGGGGGTTGTCCAGCTCTACGAGTGCCTGGATTGATTTTGTTGCTGCAGACAGGCCTCAGCATCCCATCACAGATGAGGGGGCCACCAAAATGTCCCCTCAGTCTTTTCTCTCTGCTCCCAGCTCCTCATAGAGTGGAAATCCCAAAAAGAAAATGCACAGTAGCTGGCTAGGGACAGCAGGCAAAGCCAAGGGAATGCCTTCCATCCATCTTCAACAGCCTCATGTGGCAGCCAAGCCAAGGCAGTGAGGATGAGGATTCTCAGGGTGAAGGTGAACTGTCATGTGGCAGAGAAAGGAGAGCTGATGTTTGGGATCCATCTGAGCTCTGCAC